CCCTTGAAGGCCATGCTTGCAAGCATAGCTGTTTGTATTTCGAGTTGCTGTTGTCTTACAGTCCGATGCGTTTGCCGTTTCTCAACATCCATCTGCTTCCACAGACAGGAACTTAGAACAATGATGCATCCAGGCACAGGGAGAATGGAAGTTGGAATCTTGCTCCACAGCCGTTTGTAGAGTTTCGAGTTGTTGCCAACTGTTATTGGTTTCATGTAGAGCAAGAACCTCACAACAGCATTCAACAGCGAGACAAAGTTGCAACACAGTGTCACATCCGTGCCTACGAAAGCTAGAAACAGGACGGGGCAGGCTTGTTACTCGATGGCTCTACAGCCGCGATAATCGCGTGAAAACAAGCCTTCCCCGTCCTGTTTCTAGCTTTCGTAGCCCTGCTCCCAAGTTGCAATGCCCAATACAGAACCACTTGAGAGGAGCAACTAGAAAGGGATCGGACAAGGAGCCCCAGAAAGCCAATATTCACACGGGTGAGACAGCAGAACCTCTGTGTCATGTAGTTCTTTGCAAGCACCTTTGTGAACTTGAGCCAGCCATGACGGTTTGCATCATGCTTTGGTTCAGCCTTGTGCAGGGGGGCTCCTCTGGGACAAATCCCCTTCATAATCTAATGTGAGGTCCGCGCTCAGTCTATGTCCATTGCTTCGCCGATGTTTGTGAGCATCAGTTTGTGAATCAAGTGTTGATCAGAAGTGGATCGTCAGTGAGATATGGCCATTCCGCCCTTTGCTCGATGACAGGAACTTGTGAAGTCCGTGGAAGCAGAGGCAGCGGCGAAGAAGTCCGCTGAAGAGGCCAAGGTGCGACCGTTAGGGGACTTCTCAACGAGGGGCTTCGACCTGTGCAGCTTACCTTGCTGGGGCAGGCAATGTTGGCACATGTGTATGCGGTCTGTGTTCCGAGGCTTGGCAGGCAAGCTTCAACACATCGTTGCAGATTGGAAGGTGGGAAAAGCCGGGTGTGACAAGGCGACCAATGGCCAAAACTCGCCAGGAAAGAAGGGCTCCTGAGGGAAGCTCAGCAGGAGCAGCAGAGATGCGAAGAAGCTGAGGTTCCCAGCACGAGAAGGTGGGTCGGTAGGTCGCTCTCAGAGAACGAGCCTCGGGAGGTCAATGCATCAAAAAGAGAAACCAGGATGCGCTCGTTGCTGAATACACACAAAAAGCACCTCGTTTTGTGTGACCTGCAGGCGCAGTTGATGCGAAGTTTTAGAAATCTTGCATGAAGCTGCGCGAACTCTACAGGTTGAACTTCCTGAAAAGGAAGCACTCAGACTTGAGGCGACGGGGGATCAGAGAGCAGCGGCTTTCCAGGAATTGCAAGACGAGGTGCATCGTTGATTCCTACCAGACTCTGCCGAGCATGCAGGCCAAAGCTGCTTTCGACAAAGCAGAAAAGAGCCTCTTGGAGGCGCAGGCAAGTCACTGAGTTGCAGGGGTCCCTACCGCTTCCTTTGTGCCGCGCTCATCTGCCAGAAGAAGTTGGAGAGCCTCGCGAGTGAAGAAGCAGAGACTCACGAAAATATTGGAAAGACCTACAAGGCAGCCATATCCAACGCAGCCGCCCTTTGCAGATCGGCTCGGTGCGCAGACTGTCGCTTCGTTGGTGTCAGCTTGCCGAGTGCCAAAACCGCTCCATGTAATTCGAGAAAGCACGTGCAGGTGGTCTGTTTGCTTCATATAATTTCACCACATGTCAGGAGTTGGAGGAGTTGAAGGTTGAGCATTCCATAGCAGACAAGGAGTACAACGATCAGGACGCTCAGTTGGTCTCTGCACATCTGTGCAATTTGTCATGGACGCTCTGAGCCTGTGGTTTGGAGCTCACATTGCAGAGACAAGTGTACATGGTTGACCTTGGGATGCTCTCAGGTGCTGCCCTTGTCGGGCGGGCTAGGGGAAGCCGCTTCTCCTTGTCAAGTGGGCTGTTCCCTTTCGAAGCCGTGCGCTAGACGGTGAGCTCTAACGAGCTCCTCATTAGAAACTTCCGGCTTCTGAATATCACCAGAGAATTACGCGATGTTGCATATCGTGCAAACGGGCGAGTCGCGTTCGGCGCGCGGATAGACTGCTGCCACACCCAACAGACCCCAACATGTTGCATTGATTAACTGTGAGTGTAATGCTGGAAAAGATTCACAACAACATAGAGCTTCGACAAAGAAAGACGGTCAAGCGGAGAAAGAGAGAGGGGAGAGAGAGAGAGAGAGAGAGAAAGCAGGTGCACGAGCACCTCAGCAACACAGGCAAATAATGCCTTGGTGTTGCAAGCGATCTCACTAGTGGCCTCCGCAACGGACGGGGGCGCCGACGGCGCGCGGGCAGGGGGGAGTTCCCCCTTGCCCATAACCCTGCCGAAAGAAAGAGAAAGCAGGTGCAGGGTAGGGGGTTTTCCAGTTGACACCCTCCGGCCTCATCTCGTTCTTAGTGCTTGCCGAACGGACGAACCAGTGCGCGCTCGCGCGCGGGGGGAGTGCTTGCGCGCTTTCCCTTGTCTGTGCTGAAGAAGAGAAAGCAATTTTTCAGGGGGTATGTGCGAGTTGGGGACAGCCGGCCTCATCGTTCTGGAAGCACGAGCCGGACGGAGTGACCAGTGCGCGCTCGTGTGCGGGGAGGGCCGAGCGTCTTCCCTTAGCTGTGCTGAAGAAGAGAGAAAGCAAAGAAAACTCTGAACCCGCGTGCATCTGGGGCCCCAATGCCAACCACTCGCTAATATACGAGGGGTCGGGCGGGCCAAATGCCGGATCGTCGTTACGCGACCCCTGCGCCGTCTGGTCCAGGATCCGGAAGAAAGAAAGCGAAGCTTCACCACATCTTTGCAAGGGTCAGGTGCATAAGTAACCTGTCAGCACTTTCACGTGCCCTCAGCTTTTTAGCAGCAGGTCTGTAAACTTGCAGAAGTGTTTCACTCGGCTCGTCAGCGGTTCCGCGAGAGAGCAGGCTTGCTGCGGGAAGGCTGAGGAAAAATGACCATCTGCGCAGCTTTTGCACTCAAGTGTCCCGCATCCAGGGTCGGGTCAAGCCCAACCTTCAGAGATCTTCAGAGTGTGCATGTGCCGTGTCGTCTCGGTCCTTTGTGCCCAGGCTCCAGAAGTGAAGTGATAGAAGGTAGTGGCTGGTACGACTCGGCTTTGATGGCCTTCGATTTCGATGAGCTGGAGCTTGCAGAGTCAGAACGGCAACCCTCCGTTCTGGAATACATATCGGATTCTCGTCAGACTCGAAAGAGCCGCGCACGCATATGGTTTGAAATCAAGCGATGCTTTGAGGCAGACACGGGACCGGGGTGTGCCGACTGGAAAGCCCGCTATGCCAGGGAGCTTCTGCTACGTGCGATCAAGGAAGCTTTGCAGCGAGATGGCTTCGTCGTCATGGATGTAGCGTTGCCGGCAAACGCAGCACAACAGCTTGCCAACAGATTGAAACTTTGCTCGGCAGCTGTGACAAGCGCCCTGCACAATTCCGTCGAAGAGACGACGGTTACGCAGTGCCCACAGTGGGTTGGAAGCCACCTGTCAAGATCCCAAGCTTCCACTGCACCGGTTTGCCAGGAGTTGTGCGACTCGAAAGAGTTGTCTCCGCTTGGCCAGAACTGTGAAGTTTCCTTCGCAGACTCCAAAGGCTGCATGTCTATCCGACCGTACAGCAAGGCCGAGTTCATCAACATGATGAAGCTGTTTGTTCATGCTGCTGCCGATAATTCCGTTTCGGAAGCCCAGCTCCCCGTCGCTGACAAAGTCTCGGTGCAATTCTCGTTCGGCGACCAAGAAGCCCTGCAGAAGGCCAGAGAGCACAAAGTTTCACAGACAGAGACTTGGCTTCGGAAGAACGTGTCAGTGCGAGAGCTGGCGCTTTCCAACATGTTCTTGCCCGTGGTCGTTTCCGACGCAAGGTCTAGCGGCTAGCATTTGCAGTGCGCGCGTGTGTGTGTGTGTGTGTTCGTATATATATATATATTTCTGTGTGTGTGTGTTTGTGTGTTGTTGATTTGTTGTCTTGGGGCTTCTGGGGTTTAGGGTGCTCTAAGTTTTTGTTTTAAACGGATCAGGGTTGTTTTCTAAGTTTTAGCCGAGGCGCAAAGGGTTTCGGGCCTCATGGGGTTTCGGGCTTTCAGAGTTTAGGTTGAGGGCATATAGTTCAGGTTAGGTGTTTGTGACTGATTGTGTTTTGGGGTGCAGGGTTGGTTGGTCTCACGCGGCTTTGCCTTTACGGTTTTGGGTGTTTGAGGTTACGGTGTTAGTTCCGGGTCTGCGCTTAAGGCTTAGGTGCATCTGCCTGGCGCGAAACTGGTGGTGCGCGAATCCAACCGCGCACGCATCTTGTTGTTTTGATTAAGGTCCCTACTAAAATCAACATCACACACATCAGCCGTATCACATGTCATTAACAGCGCTTGCCAAGATCTTGCAGACTACGACAGCTTTTACATTGCCGCAACCTTTGGTGCAAACTTTGGAAGCCAAGCCATTCAAGCTTCGCACTTGTCTCCAATTCTGAAGTTTCGAAGTTCTGATGGTTCGCATAGCTAAATCGAGTTTGGCTCACAGCGAAAGGCAAGGATATCAGAACAGCCCATTTCACGACTAAACGACTAAACTTCTTGCCAACATGGTATTGGAACAACGCAGCTGCACAGAATGGAAAGTCGTTATCCTGCAGTAACAGTAGCAGGTAGCATAGCAGAAAAACGTCAAGGGTCTAAGGTCACTTGGACAAGCATGGTCAGCAGACAGAAGGTTGGATCTCGCGAAGACCGCAGGGTGGTCAGTGATTTCGCTGGCAGGCATGAAGCGGCCGGCAGAGTCTGACCTGGTGCAGTGGCCCTCGCAGTTTGTGCAAGTTTGGTCTAACGCACTGAAAGATCTCAGGCCCCCGAAGAATGCTGAATCCAAAGATGCAGGTGCAGGGATGTGTTCAAATTCGAAAACAACTGGGTTCGTTCCCCTGCTTTCACGGCAGCACATTCTTAGTGGCACCGCAAGGCAATCCCTTTGCTGGCGTATCGTTGTTCAGCAGCGCATCTTCCTCTTTTCCTACGGCATCGGCTGGTGGGTTTGGGTCTTTGCACTGCGCAACGCTTGGCACAGCTTGTCTGTCTCAATTGACATGGGTATTCCAGGAATCCTACAGTCCTAGAGGTGTCATGCAAATCTTGTGGCAATACTGTGGCCGCTTGCACCAACGACCAGACAGAGAAAGAGAGCGTAGCGCCTGCGCGCAGGGGTTGTGGGGGGAACCCCACGCCCCAAACGCCTAGCAAGCAAGCAAGCAAGCAAGCAAGCAAGCAAGCAAGCTTTTTCCTCAACGCTAGCTCCTCTGGAGCTTGCGGGAGTTGTTACTCGCAGATTTGGTGTTGGGCCAGAAGAGAGTTAACGGGCCCTCGCTCCTGATGTATCAGGGATTGAAGAGTCAGCAGGCGGGGGGGGGCAGCGGGGGACGACCCCTCTGATCACTTCAGAAGTCTCTCTCGATCAGGGGCCGGGGGAGAAGGAGGGTCCCCTCCACTCAAGAGTTTCATGCGGCAACATAGCCACAGCATATATCTGCACAACGGAAGACAGCAGCATTGTCTACTGTTTCACTTTCACCGCAGACATCTTGTGTGACTCGTCAAGCACATGCATCGGCGAGTTTGCAGGACGGTAAACAAACGTTTTAGGGTCCCTCCTTGCATTGAGGAACGAGCTTTGTCACGGTCGTTCAGCGCAGTCTTAGGTTTCGTGACAACACATGCGAACGCAATTTCCCTGTCAATCCTGATTGGATATATGATATATAGCTACCACTTCGCAACACTGCACACAAGCACTGAATGATTCTCATTCGCGTACCATCAGCTCGCGTTTGAAATGCACCACTGCCCCCTCCGTCCTCCGTACCCCTAGCTTTCCGCTCTGCTCTGAAGTTCAAACCATGCAGGCGCAGTCCTGTCGAACATTACTGGAAGCCTGCTGCAAAATGGAGGGGCCTGATGGTAAGCTCTAATGACCTCATTCGCATTTTGCTACATCTCTGACTGTACTACGGCCATCTACGGCCATTCCTGTCTTGGACAAACCCCTGTGCATGAGCTTGGCAACGCAGTTTCGCAAGTAGGCTGCTGGCGCTGGCATGCATGCGCGGGCCAAGTGCACCAGCCGTTCCTGGCCGTCGTGGTCGACCACACCTCGACCTCTAATTCCAACGGCAGTGCCAGATGGGTGGAGAGTGGTGACTGAAATGCAGAGAGCAGTGAATAGTTACTGGGAGACACCCAGAACGACGCACGCGAATCCGTGATTTATAGTTTCAGGAGGAGAGCTCACTGCGTGTTCTTAAGTTTTGATCGCCATGTTAGAACGGCTCCAGATCGGAGTGCAGCAGAGATGCAGGTCATCCACAGGATCGTCAGCTCCTGGACAGGCTGCATATGGTGGGTACAGACTTGATGCCAGTGCGGGGTGCTGTTCCTGTGACAGTCGGCCAATCCCTTCATGGGACTGTCGCTTTTCTCACCAGCTACATCAGGACTTGGTTGCGAAAGTGGAATAGCCGAAATTTACTGCATGCAGAGGGAACTGTTGCGCAAGGAAGCTTGTTTTCGACAGCTGTAACATCTTTGCACGGCAGAGCTGCTGACACCAGTGGTGGTCTCAGGAAATTCTGATTGCAATGGGAGGTGCCTGCGCCGCTCGAACACGTGTTAAGCATTCCTGAGTTGGGTGATACTGACACACTCACACTTGGTATGATGAGTCTTGGCAATGGTCATGCAATGCTGCTACCACGCGGAACATTTGTTGACTGCATGCTTGCTTGCCTACCTGCCTGCCTACCTGCCTGCTTGCTTGCTTATCTGTTGAGTGCGCTTCGTGATAGCCTGCAGTACCATACTACAGGTTATCTAATGGCGATGAATCTGGTTGTGAAGAGCAGTCAAAAGGAGTTGTGACGAGGTCTTGAGGCCCCATCGCAGCTTTCTGGATGTAGCTTCTCAGGGCTGAATCTGTTGCTGGTCGTGTGTTTTTTGGTGCCTTTGCATTTTGCCTCTTGAGTTGGACACCTGGCTTACAAAGGGAAGTCCATCTTTGTAGGACGAGCTTGAACAGGATAATAGGATAGGATTCAATATAAGCGCATGAATCAAGATGTTTGCCATATCCGTTCAAAGAACTTGCTCTCGGATCGCCTCCAGAAGCAGGGACAAGTGCGTTCGAAGAGCTTTCGTGGAAGTAGGCTTGCCATTGCGACGCAGTGCAGTTTCAGATCAGGAGGCAATGTTCGCTTCGGACTTCGACCCTGAAGGTTGTGGCCCGGTTTAGTCGTTGGGTTCTTGGGGTAGCAATTTCCAAACAAAGCGAAATCCAGAATAACAACCTGCTGACTCTTCCTTAAGGGCCCTTCCACTTAGGACCACGCACCGAGAAAGGGTAACTCCAGAGTGTCATGCCGTCATGCCGCCTCCGAAAGCTCGAGATGTTTGCCGGCCGAACGGACGGTGAGAAAAGCAGCGCCGGAAGAAGGGGAGAGTTAACAGGACAATGTCAAATCCATCCGAGAAATGCTGTTTTCTGCACACTATCACTAGTTGGTTGGAGTGTCCGAATGGGCCGAATTTGTTGAGTACTCGATGTCCACCACCGGACCGTATGTAACACATGTAAATCGCGGGGGAGTGCCGAACTGATCTGAGGCAAAGCTGCGGAGGAATGCAGCCAGGCGCGCTGCGTCCAGTGCTTCGCAGGAAGCTATCAGGTTTGAAGCGCGAGCAAGAAACTCCAAACATCGCCTTGAGAGTGTGAAAGTAGACGACGCCGAGGCCCACCAAGTTGACAAATCTGGGGACACACGGGCCCGCGGGTCCTTAGCTGAGGCCTCCGGCCTAGATCCTGAGTGTATCTGCGAAGCAAGTGGCAATCCTCTGCCGCAGCACGGAGCGCGAAACTCAGACACTGCCAGCCCTGACAGAAGGGAGCAAGCCCAACAAAGCAAGAGGAGCATCAATCAGAGCGAAGCTCGAGATCCCTAGCGGCCCTAGCAGCTAGCGCGCACAGCCGCAAGAAAGTCGATGACATTCTGCAACATGAGGCCACGACCTTATGAACATCAAGCAAAGCGGACTGAACTAGACATCGGATCCGGCATACGGCACCTGGTTCCCGAAAATCTGGTGACGGAACGGACCCACAAATCGATGCACGATACTCAGACTTGAGGCCGGGTTTCGCTTGGGCCAGCAGTGAAGTGCACCAGTTTCGTGTTCGGACTCAGAACCATGTGTGCTCGAAGGTTCCTGACGTTGCAAAATGTTGCCGATTGCACCGGCAATGAAAGTGGAGCTTGAATATTCGCCGCATGTATTCACCACCCTGTCGTGCACCAGCGCAGCTTGATTCATCGTCCCTGGTAGCATGATCCATGGAGGCAGCTCAGCTGGAGCAGTCTGAAGTGGAGGCGCAGGAAGGTGGAGAAGAGACGCAAGATGGAGAAGAGGTTGAGGAAGAGCGTGATCTTGACAAAGAAGAGAAAGACGGGGAAGGTGGCGACGAGCCGACAGGCAGGAATTGCTGATGACTTCTCGGGTCCTAGTGCATGTTTTTGCATCAAGGTGAAGAGGATGAAGAAGCTCTCTTCCGAGCAGATTGCAAGCTTTGGAAGCTGGTTGTCTGGCAGTTTGTTCCTTTCCTGCTGCTTGTTGTAGCAGCAATCCCTCGAAGACGCTGTTTGCCAGGTCAAGCTTCCAGCATCTGACTCCAAGGAAGGATCAGAGGCATTCTGGGCTCTTGGAACCTTCTTCTTCAGACTTGGTCTGCAGTGTTGGACGCTCCTCGAGTACTGCAGACTATAAACCATCCAATGACAATTTGGTGCATGTGGCAGGACTGCCCAAGCAACTCTTAGCCCGGCCTCTTAAAACGTCCGACAAAATTTGGCGAGATCCAGCCGTCCAAGCGCCGCCGACATGTTAAGCGGATAGGTGGAGGCAGATTCAAATCCAAAGACATTCCCAAAGATCAAAGAGATGAAGGTCGCCCATAGCCCAGCAGACACAGAGAGGTGTAAATGCGTAAACGAGGCTGTCGCATCGGAGGCCCGCGGAAGGCGAAGACATAACACGACCCCTGCGAAATTGGTTCGATGTTGCACTGTTCGCGGGTGTGGGGTTTGCACTGCTCACAGACTCTCTCTATTCTCTATCTCTAGCAGAGAAGGCTTGGACCTGGCAAGAGAGGGGCTGTGGAATCGTCTGGAGCCGAGTGCGGAAAGTCTGGAGAGCCTTGGGCAGCTCTCAGAGCAGCTCAGAGCTGCCCCTGCTTCTCTCTGCTCTTTTCTGAGGTGCAGATCAATCGGCACAAGAGGACGCGAGCCTGTCGGCTGGTGATGCGCATGCGGGGCGTTTTGAAGCTCCTGCTGAACACGCCGGTTTTCCCAACGACAAGGCGCTGTGTTCTGGGGTCCTTGGCAACCTCGAGCGCATGAGAGACAGGTACGAAATGGTTGGGCAAAAGTCTGTGCGCTTCGTCGGTGTGGATGCAGATACGCATGAGGTGAAGTCCGAAAAAGCTCGGAGCTCAGCCCGGTATGTGAATGTCTTGCATGTCCTGGCAAATTCTATGATTGACCTGGACACGCTGTCAGGTGCCATTTTCCGCTTTCCGCTTGAATCTCCATAGCAGTGACCAGCAGGCTCTCCGGGATAGCATCGTCTAAGTCATCTAAGAGTCTAAAGAAGTCCACGAGGCTTGCGCATTGAAGCATCTGTTGCATTGTGGATCATCTTGAAGGCAAACAGCTGAGACACCCGCACAAAAAACTGCCAGGGCAAGTTCCTGGCCATTCTGCGCGACGCAGCCGATTCAGCAAAGAGTTGACGCCGACAAGACGGAACACGCGAGGTCGTCGGGGTCAGTCAAGGCTAGGAGCAGGGACATCCGGGGTTTTGCGATAAGTCAGCTTGTCCCAGTGCAATGTCGTGAGATGCTGGCTGAAAGAAAGCGCAGGCGACATGCAGCGGCACTGCCTGAGACTGCTTGACAGTGGATTGCAGAAAAGCAGTGCGTTCTCTTGCTGTCTTGCAGCAGGTAGAACCTGACCACGCGTGATGGGTTGGATGATGACACTGGTAGCTTGTAGAAGCCCGATGAACAGCCGGACCTAACCAGCTTGTCTGCCATTGCTAGCTCAAGATGTAAGATGATGCCTGTCAGCTGACCTTCTAATAGACAGCTCATGTCATGCAAGCTTCATCGAGCTCAGTTTCAACACGCAGCTGTGACAGAAGCTCGCTTCACGAAGCTTGTCTCTGCATGAGATGCTGCGAACATGACGGAACAGCTTGAGCAGGCCAGCTCAGAACAGCTGAGTGAGATGCAGAATGAGATGAGTGCCTGCTCAGTGCGGCTGTACCTATTGCTGCAGCTGCCGAGACACTCAATCACTTCCGATTGTTCACCGATTCCCCAGGTTACCTGCGGATGCGCCTTGTCATTTGTCGTCTTCCTTTCGTCAAGTTCGGAGAGAGAGAGCGAGAGAGAGAGAGAGAGAGAGAGAGCTCCTCCCCTCGCATCCGATCGCCATCCCCATCCATCCCCTCGCAGCAGCCGGTCGCAGCGTCATGGAGAAATGTCTTGCCCCCTGCTCGTTGCGCGTCAGGCCAAAGTGGTCGTTCGAGATTTCGTCCTGGAGATGCGCATGGGTCGACGCATGATGGTGTTGTCACCCACCGGCCAGCTAAAGGCAACTACATGCAGCTTGAACAGCGAGCTTTGTGTCTTGCGGATCACGCGGGCGAGCCAGGCAGCTTGGTACGCAAACGAGAGCATGGAAGAGCCGACTAAATTTCCAGCCGATTTTGTCCGAACACGGTTGAACATGCCAAGCCCACCAGGACGTCACCGGCCGACACCGCCCTTCGAAAGCTCCGTCTAACTGCACCCTTGTAATGCGCAGAACGAAGACTGCACAAAAAGTATACTGGTCGCCTTCTCTGCTTAAGCCAAGAGAAACTAGGGTATATGCGCGCTTCTGTGTTTGTGTGTTACATTTGTATACACGTAGGAGATCAAAGCGTGCAGTAGAAAAAGAAATCCAGGATTTACTACAACAGGTGAAAGAAAGCAAGGAACATGCAGGACAGCGGCCAGCAAGTTAATGTCCTTGACCAGATACAAAGCCTGACAGATTTCGCCAAGCGACACGATGATGAAATCGATGACTTGCGTGGAATGTCGGAATTCATGCATGAGATTGTTATTCAGAGAGCACAAAGAGAACGTGTTCAATCTGGTCATCAAATCATGGCCACGTGAATCTACGTTTCAAGAACGGGTGCGTGTAACAGGTTGGCTGATACAGAAGGCATATGTATATACAGCGAAGAGTTCTTCAAGAGCATAGCTATTGCAAAGCCGGCAGGAAGTTTGTCTTGTCGCCAGTTTCTATCATTACTTTCCAAACAAAGAGGACCGCAATGCCTTTGAAACGAATCCTTACTCATCATTCTTGTCGAGATGGCCTTTATACTGCTGGGATTCCTACGGAAATTATTGGCAATACTGGAAGGGCGGATGGCACAAGCTTGTCGTCACATATTACATCAGCAAGATTGATTAGACGATTCACCTGGCGCTCACTACCCTCCTCCAGATTCTTACTGGCTTACGATGAGACGGGATACACTGGCACCAACCAACTATCACCCAGACCCACCGACAAGCAGATCTACGACCTCGAGAATAAACAGGTATTGACGGAGGAAATGTATGACAAAGACCGCTGAGCATGCGGAGTTTTACCACTGATCGTGCAGAAGAGCATCATACACGTTTCGTTGCACAAATGATCATCCGAGATACAGGAGCTACAGCAGACACCCGTATGCAGTAACGTTTGCAGAAGCCAGATTGGGAGACGAACAACATGATCACGCTGCCCATGAGTGACTGCGATTGAGAAGATTAGAGACTATAAGAGAGTTATAGCAAAGCACCATGAAGGCAGCAATTGAGGCAACAACAACCCTTCTGCAACAGTCACAGTGGACAATTTCAAGTTTGAGGGAGAATCTGTAGTTCTAGGCAGGCAAGATGCAGACGAAAAAAACCACACCTTCCAGAAGTTATTCCGGGACATTGTCAGATCACTGACAGAGTGGCTCCAGAGTGATGTCAAAGACTTTCCGGTTGTTCGGCGTAGGGATAATGGTTCGTGATGGAAGTCGTCGTTCATCTAGGTCCTTATGGCGTAACTTGAAAAAGGCAGCACTGGAGACGAGCCACACAGCAGCGCAGAGGCTTTTCAAACCAACAAGAAGATGTATGACACAGACACGCAAACGACAGGTTCAGTTACAGTGCAAGAGGTGTTTCAAAACCACCGATAGCAAGACAACCAAAAGCCAACAATCTTCGCTTGACGCTGCAGCGAGACCAAAAGCAAGAGATGCCGGTTAGCAAAGAGGCAGCCAAATCAAGCAACCTCAAGATCGGCAGCAATCTGAAAGCTGCTAGCATAAACGTTCGAGGGCTCAGCCAGATGACATACATTTTACACAAAGAGGCATGGCATATTTACACACAATGAACGACAAGACAAAAGACAGCCGAGCTTTGTTTCTCGAATTTGCAAAGATTCATTCATTTAAGATTTAGAACACACTGTTTCCCAAAAGACCTGATCACATACAAACGCCGCAAGATCCAAAGTACTGCCTGACATCGCAGTCGGGGCAGGTCCTCCTTTGGATGCTCTAAAATATGCGCAGATTGACTTTTGGCGCGCATGAAGTGCATGCAACAACAGCGAACCAAAGGTACAGAGTAGGAAAGACATTTATTTTGCTAACAACCCATGCTCTGGCGGGAGCGAAGGAGCTGACATATTTAACACCAGACATATACAGTATATAGAATACAAAATACATCATATACAATATAGAATATGTACGATATAGAAAAAGAATATTCATTGCATAATACATAATATTATATATAGAGGTAAAGATGCATGTTGATATATGATAAAGATATAGGTATAGCTGAAGCTGTAGAACTGTACAAAGATATAAATACATATATAGATATAGATACAGATGTGGATCTGTTCGTGTCTCGAAACTTTGTTGTGGCAACCTGCATAGTAAATGTATTTCCAAAAATATAGTTCGTCTTTTCAGGGTACTTGGGGGGCCTAAACCCCAACCCCAAATCCTGACCATCCCTATAACCCAAGCCAGAAAAGCTACACTGAACCTTGAACTTAAACCCTGCACATCCCTGGACCGGGGTTTAGGGTTCGGGTTGAGTTACCGAAGATGAACCGGAGACATTTCTGCTATGCGTTTGGCGATGTATTTACTATGCAGGCTACCACAGTCTATGCAGGCTACCACAGTCAAACCAGTGCCTAGTGGTCTTAGGCTGAGACAACACGGCTCATAATTACATTGCAAGAAACAAATTGCAGTTATCTGCAGTACCTCTATGGCACTTCTCGGGTACCTCCAGAAGTGCCTCCGGCAGTGGCAATTCCCGGGAGACTTGATTGCGCACAAGTTGGCTAACGTTTCTAAAATTTAGACAGCTCGCGGGCAATGGCACACCTGCTTCGTGGGCACTGGGAAACCCTTCTTTTCGGGTGTCCCGTTTCTCAAAAAAAAAGGTCTCTCCTGGAGTCACCGAAAACGAGCCCGCTGCCCACACCTGAAACACCTCATGGCCTGGAGGTTGGCTCGAAAACGGAGGGCGTTTTGGCCCCCTATAGCTCATCAGCAAAGATGGGTCTCAAACGAAAGCTCTTCCCTCCACCGAGGGAGCTTTCGTAATAAATCTACCGAACATCGTTTGAAGTACTTCATCTGTTGCGGCATATTTACTGGACTTCAGGAGAGAGCAGCTGTAACCCCGAAATCCGATGGAACCTTAAGCCGAACCCTAAATCCTGAAGCCAGAACCATAAACCCTAACCCGGAACCCTGAACCGACAACCCTAACCCGGAACGCTGAACCGATGATGCTTATGATGCCTGGTGCCGGGGCGGGGGTGGGGGGAGGGGTGGCAAAAAGGAGTATCGCCCATCTCCGTCCTCTTCCGCCCCGGCGCAGCTTGCCCCCGGTTTGTGCTTTCGTCCCCCCCCTCTTGGTTGGGGCACAAGTACCTTGTAAAAGCGCCCAACCTCCCTAAACACATTCAATGGAAATCGATAAAGGATTCCTTAAACCTCCTCGAAATACCCTGTACCCGGAAAACCCCGAAATCCTTGAGATCTTGCCGCATCCTATGCAGGCAGTGCTAAACAGAAGATCATGAGGAAACCATACAAGCAATCTTCCCGTAGTAGAAGTTCTGGTTCTCTGGAGATACATCCTTTGCTTCTAAGGACTGATATTAAGATGAAGCCAACTGAAGAATAATCCACATGCGTTATGACTGTAGTTGTTGCTAGTGCAAAAAGGGTCCAAATAAATTTACTAAATCCACCTCTTCATTATGCCATGCTTTTTGTCTGTAGAGGTGTGGTTCTTCATTTCTTTCGTCTCTTCATATAATACAAGAATAAGAAATTGTTGTTTTCTGGTTCTTTCGCTTCACGAGATCACCGTTTCACTTCGTTTCATTGTACTTAATTAAGCGAAATAAAACAACCCGGCTTGCTTCGCTCCCTTTCTGTGAAGCATGTGGCTGTGTTTTCTGGTTTCGTTCACTCGTTTGCTATTGTGTCATGGCATTTCTGTTCTTTGCAATTTGATTAAAGCAAGCACGAATGGCACTGCTACCAGTGGTAGCGGTCGCAACTGCCCGACTCCGCACCACTGCTGAAATCCGTACCCGAGGCAGGGCATCCTAGACTCAACAACTCCCACAGACCAAAACG